GTGTGTGTGTGTGGGTGTGTGTGTGTGTGTGTGTGTGTGTGTGTGTGTGTTTGTGTGTGTGTGTGTGTGCCCTTAGGATCCCATTAGGATCAGAGTCTGTTGTAATTGCCTTTGTGTCGGTGGGTCTCTGCTCTAATAAAAGATGAACCGATGCAGGTGCATGGGAATGTGCAAGCTTTGGTTCTGCCTTATCATTAGCCCACTTCAGAGATGTGCTGCCCTTTTCTGCCACCACAGAGAGCACTTGATGAATAAAGATTGGGGGCGTGGTGGAAGGAAGGAGGAGGGGTGGCAGTGGTGTTTAATGTTCAGATAATTACATCCCCGCGTATGTGTTTGGTTGTCTTTGAGTGGTGAGTGAGAACTTTGTAGCTTCAAACGGCCCTAAATTTATATATTATCAAAAGTTAGCAAGAGTCTTTTTTGACACAGTTATTTTTGGTGACTAAAATGTTCAAATGTACTTGATAGGAATGAGGCCAGAAAACATTTTCTTGTTTTTAAAAATGGCTTTTTACCACAATTTTATGTGTCTACAGTTTCAAGGATTCACTCAATGACATCTGCTCAATGACCGCCCCCCCAACACACACACACACTTAGTGGTATCCTTGGGGTAGGTGTTGCATTATAGTGTTTTAATATGCTGCATTGGCTAAATAGACATTTTAGCATAGCAGAGAAATGATGTTGCAGTTGGACTTGTGTTTCACACAAGCCATATGTGTTACTTGGCAGAAAACTGTAGTGTGTGTGTGAGCGAGGCTTAGGGAGCGCGTGTGTGTGTATTTTGTGCTGTTGGGGATTTTGGAGATCGTTCTCACCTTAGGAAGGGAGCCTTGGGGTGGAATGAGGCGAGTGACGGCGGCCTGTGAAGATAGTCAACAGCTGTGACACCTGTTTACCATATAGCTTGCACATATTCTGTTCCCTGCTCATTATGCAATATTAATACATGAAAAGTAATCATACATTTTTAATGGGTAATTATCAGAAATATTTTTGCTTTAGCTCTATAAAACTATTTTACCTTAGCTCATACGTGTAATTGCACATTATATACATTATAAAAGAAGTGCATTCATTTTTAGCCCGCCAACGTTATACCGGGCTGTGTGATAGAAGTTGGATATAGTGTTTATTATTATGTCGGTCAAGCAGACTACAGTAAGAAATACAAATCGTCCTACTTTTGTGACTCTCTTTCACTCTGTCCCTCCATTCTCTCTTTCAATCACTTGTCTGTCCAGGATGTGTGTGTCTGAGTGCCCCAGTGGCTTTTTCCGCGACGATAGGAAACGCTGCAAGAAGTGCTCCTCCTTGTGTGAGACCTGTATTGGTAGCCGTAGTGACCAGTGCACCACATGCAGGACTGGTTTCCACCTCAGCGAGGGCACAAACACGTGTGTCGCCAGCTGTGCCGATGGCTTCTACCTCGACAATGGTATGTTCCACTGCTAGCTAAACGTACTCAAGATGTGAAGTCCGTAAGATTAGAATATAGTGACATGTGTTGTTAAGAATCTATGAACATAGGTAGGTAGGTAGGTAGGTAGGTAGAACTTTATTGATCCCACAGTGGGGAAATTCATATCGGTGCCAAAGCTGGAAATGACTGCAGTGTTATAGAACTATCGGTCTGTGATCTACAACACAAACGATGGTCAAAACTATCACCCTGAGTGCTTGAGTTCACTGCCTCAGAATGAAGTCTTTGTATCCTTGATGTGTAATGTCTGGCCACTTGTTTATTTCTGTTCAATTGCTAAACTGAACAGGGCTGAAAAGTCTGTGCTAGTAAGATCATAATTCTTTATACACCAGGTTAAATTGGAGTAATACATGAAATAAAACAGATCTGGAGGATGATTGTCTTTGGATTATATTTACCAGGCGTCATCTTGTTTTCTCTGTGTTGATCACCTCTGTCTGTTTATTATAAAGCATTAGTGCAGTGGTGTTAACACACAGAATGTATACAGAATGTATGTATTTACTGGTTTGCCTTGTGCCCAGGATGTATGCCAGCCGGGATGAAATTAAAGCAAGAATGAGAAACTATGTGTATCTTATAATAATCTCTATATATACCGGTTTACAGCCAAGGTAGTCTACAGTAAGTCTTGGCAGCTCACAGAGCCTCTGGCAGCAGATCTGATGCGATCTGATCCAAGTTCAATCATAACATTTCAACAGGCCAAGATGTAGTAGATAGTTTTTTCTCTTTGAAATGTTGGCACTGCTGAGAATGATGTGTTAAATGAGCAGTCTAGTCTTCTCCTTGGCAGTCTGACAACAAGCCCAGGTGAATTCCTGCCTTCATCAACATGTGGACACATTCATGTCATGTTTTATTACTGGTCAGGGAAATGTTTTTAAGAGATGCCAACCTAATTATGGACAAAGTATTCTAAACTATGTGATGCAAGTTATATGTGGCATCAGATGGATAACGTTAAAATCCATGTGCTTACAGTGTGTAGACAGTTTCTGACCCACACATGCCCATGGTTATCGGGCAATTTTATTATTTTGTGAATATCTGATATATTTGTTAGTTTAGAATTTGTCAGAAAATTGTAAAAATGCCCGTCAGTCTCCCGGAGCCAGGCGGGGGTCTTAACTATTCAGATAGCTTCTTTTGTGTAACCAGAAGTCTAAAATCCAAAGATATTGAACATGTTGTCATGTAAAGCAGTAAAACTCTTCAGCTAAAACTTGATCGCACAGACATTTTGATCCATTTTTTGTTCATTCCTGAAAATGTAACCATCAAAAAAAAAAAGTCCTCCTCTCTGTCCTCGGTTTCCTCCTCCTGTTTCCTGACCATATGACTTCCTGAACCTAACCATAAAAGTTGTGTAATACATAGGCAATGATTTCTGGAAATGTCAGAATGACAGTTTGATTAATAGTCCTAGTCTGTTCTTACACAGTTTGTTCATTTCCCAGGAATAATAAGACATGTTATTCACGTATCTTTTTCAGTCTTCATTGCTGCTGAGAGCAGGAGTGTGCATGTGGATTGTGTCAAAGTGTGTCTGCCTTTTGAAGTATTCAATCACATTCCTATCCTGCCTCACCGACACTACAATCTTCTTTTTCATTCCTGCAGCTTTAGCCTTTTGACATTTCCATTCTTACCGTCTCTTCCCCCGGCCTCTGCCGTTTTCTCTTCCCTCATTTCACTTTTCTCATTGGTCTTTCTCACTTACTTTACCCCTTCTCCTCATCTGCTCCCTTCCCTCATTTCAAATGCAACCAGATTTCTGGATCCTATTAGCCTCTGTGTGATGGACTCACCCTGTGTCTTCCAGATTCCAATATTTGCAGGAGATGCCCTGAGAACTGTAAGAGGTGTACCACCTCCAATATCTGCACAGAATGTAAACCTGGAACGAGGTAAGCTGAGCCACGCTGAGCAATACTCACCAGCAGCTGATTTCAGACTTGCTGTGTCTCTTTCTGCAAAACTTGATTATACATTTTATAACTTGCAGTGTTTACGTTTTTTTTTTTTTTTTTTTTAACCATAGAAATACTATACTTCATTACTGCAGACACATTAAAATCATTCTGTGTTACCTCTTACCTACCACAGAAACAGTTAGGAGGATTTGCTTAAACATTATGGTGTCCACATTTTAACCACTTGAACTTTAAAGGGGTCAGTGTACTTAAAAGAAAGAGCTCGTTCGTGGTTGGACAGTGTCTGAGATCATGTCTCCCAACGCCAGTCTGACCTTAGAAAGAGAAGGTGCTGTGTTTAGCAGGTTTTGTAAGTTTGTGACACTGACAATGCAACTGTGGCAAATTGGACGTGCGGTGCGTTCAGGTGAGAAAGTAAGCAGGGTTTGAATATCTCAAGCATCTTTTGCACGTTCACTGTTAATACTTTGAATTCATTGTAAAAAATTTGTGACCTGGAGGACTTGACAAACATTTGGACTGCACAAGTAAGTTCAGTGAATTAGACCAGTGCCCATCTACACAACATGTGTTTGTAATGATGGATCCAGCAGTGCACTGTATCTTCTAGCTGAAAATAAAGAACAGTTGTCTTCATATAGAGTTCAGCAAAACTTAAAATCCAAAGAGCAGAGGCAAATTATTCATTTATTTATTTATTTATTTTAAAATCAGGATGTTCTTGTGGCTGTGTGCTCAGAAAAGCTTTTTAACATTTACTCCTGAGCCCACTGCTACTTCTGGCATCAATCACAGCTTGTTCTGTTTAGTCCACCATTGCATTCAGCCCTCTGTCATACTAGTACAGTTAGCGGACATTTTTTCTTTTTGCATCAGTTTGGCTTGAATGTTGGACTTGTGGTTTGAGGATTTATAAAAACCCTTTTGTATTCATCAACTCGAACTCTGCAGAGATACACTGTTAATTCGGGCCAGCACATGCTGTTACACTGTGGTTTGGGTTTGCAGCATGAACCAGTGAAACCAGGACTTCCCAACCGGTTTCCACTTGGGACACAAATTGAGTAAACTGAGTTTCACCCTGTGACCCAGGCTTATTAAAGCCCACATATACTTGTGTCATGCGGCAAACCACAAGAAGTGCAGCTGTTGGCCGTTTTGGGCAGTGATCCTTACTTTGAAGAAGCTCTGATCTAAACCATTTAGTTATCCATGCAGACATGTCGCAGTTCATTTTCTGGACACTCCCACAGCAGCCTTGGCAATTCACCACAACTACACTATAGCTGACCCAGGATAGGCTGTTTTCAAAGTGCTGTGGACTTCTTGATCATGAAGGAAACATTTGCGAAGTACTTAAAACCTATTGTGGTCTCAGGCCTGGCTTTCAGTGTAGCCAGAGGTGGAGGTTTCCTCTGAATACCAGCGAGACCACAGTAAGATGCATGCACACACATACACACAGTCCCACTTAGTTCACCGTTCATGGTAAGTTGGGAGCTGAGGAGGAAGCAAAAGACCAGACCAGATCATTTCTGGGAAACGTTCACTAATCCAGACCAGCTGTTTTTCAGCTCAGCTCAGCACAGCATGCTCACCAACCTGTCCTCACTGTGACTGCATAAAACTGACTTTATAACATCCACTGCCTAACTGATCTCTGCCCCCACATCTGCCACTTCCAGAGTCACTTGTGTATATATTAGAACAACAAATTCCCTTTGACGGCATTTGAATTTAGAAGACATCACATTCCTGTGTATCAGTCAAAAAGTGAATTAAAGGGCAGCCGCTGATTTGTACACCCACACAGTGTCACTGGCGCTGCAAGGTTTTTCATTCTTCCTAAATACCTGCCCAGAAACAAGTTTTTCCAGAAATCTGATAGTAGCTGGTTTGTAACAGAAAAACTAAGTGATTTGCAGCAAAGCATTTGGAAACATGAGCGTATTTGTTTTTCTGTGTTTTTCTTTTTTTAAACTCACCTTTGCTGCTGTCTATCAGTTTTAAGTTTTGAACTGGGGGACATTATAAGTATTTTCTACTTAAATATTTGCCTGGTAATTAATCAGAAGAAATGAAATTGTCTCTATCTTTTTTCTCCTCCCAGTCTTCAGGGAAACAAGTGTCAGGTGACCTGTGATGCAGGGGCTTACTACAATGGCCACAGACGGACCTGTGAGCCATGCCACAGGGCTTGTGCCACCTGCGCAGGTAGAAAATCATCAGCTATTTACAATGACCTAACTTTATTAGAACCACATATATTATGCAGGTCGGTGTGTAACATTGTTTTTGCAGACATGAACATTTTGGCATGTGAAATGCCTTAATGTGTTTTTCAGGCACAGGTATAGAGGCATGCACTAAGTGTGCAGACGGCTACTTGCTTGAGGACTGGCGGTGTGTATCCACATGCAGCGCTGGCTACTACCTGTCAGAGCAGACCTCAGACAACGGGCAGGTGCACAGGTCCTGTAAGAAGTGAGTCAGCACACCTCTACACCGCAGTGAAATCCTTTTAGATCTCCAGTCTGCAGAGATTAACTTTAACAAGTGAAGTGAAAACTGATTCACAGACACTGACATCTCCTGTGAAACAGTAATTGTATTGCAGTATACATGTACTTAAAACTGGGACTCAAATGATACATTTTGGCTTTGCTCAGTCACTTAAAGACAGAAGGCTTTGGTGTTACTGGGAGTTTACTATAGAGGTATGAAACTGGTGTTTCTCACTGTTTCATCTGATATTTGCATCATTTCAATAAGCCTTTCAGAGCCACCTTTTGGTGCAGTTATTGTTTCTGTCCGAAAGCTGTGTGCAATTTTCACATAAACAGTTCTTGTGTCTCACTCTTCACTGATGTGATGAGGAGAAACAGGAGAGTCATGTAAACACACTCCCAGTCCTGTGTTTGATCACAGGTTGATGAGTCCTTTCTCCTATCACACCCACACTCCAACTCCTTGACACAGTCCGACTTCTTGTCTGCTTTTCTTGTGGTGGGCTTGACTTGCTGCTATTTGTCTTTCCCACCTTGAATTACTCAAATGTTGCTCACTCGATCCTTTACCTCACTTGACGCCTTGATTCCCTGTCACCTGCCAGAATCTGATGCAACAGTGTGCTCTACCATTTTACACTTCCAGTATTTTGCAAACACTGCTCACTAACATGCAATGAAAGCGCTAAAGTAATAAACTCAGTTGTAAATACATAGTATAAATGAATGATAGCAGATATTTTTCAGTTCTGTGTCGGGTGTCACTTCAGAGCAGGAAAGTAGAAACGTGAAGTCTCTAAAATGGCAAAAGTTAGAACAAAAGTCCTTATAAATGGAGCAACTAGGAAAATGAAACTCAGCCAATGAAAATATTTTCCTGAAAAGGTAGATGAGTACAGTTTAGTGCTGTCTAGACTAGTATCTGTATCTTCACACAATCATCGACAGGTGTGACCATAGCTGCTACGAGTGCTTTGGGCCCGGTGAGAGGAACTGCAGCAGCTGTAACAATGGTTACAATCTGGAAGCAGGAGCCTGCATGGTCAGCACCATCTGCAAAGATGGTGAGTTGTCAACTTTTTTATCTATAAGATGGTCTCTTATTTTACACCTTTTGCATTGCCTCTCACAGGCAATGGTAAATACTAGTCTTGTCCACAGTGAAATTTCTGTAAAGACTAAAGCTGCATTCACGCCATGTCGGCAGGATGGGGAGGATGGGAATAGTTCCCACTGAAACAACCCAGGAGCGTTCACGCAGTAGTCCAAGATGATGTGCTCCGCAATGTAGTCTCATGCGAACAAGGGTACTTTGTGTCAGTTAACTGTAACGTCATTTTATTTTGTGTGACCACACAATGCGAGTCACGTTTACTCCCAACTGTCAGATTATCTAGGGCCATGCTGCAGCTTTTTACACTCGCTGTTTGGAACAATCAAATTGCATTTTGAAGTCAGGCTATTTTGCCCATGTGGCTAATTTGTCAGCTAACCTTTAACATGAATAACGTTCTTGTATTTTGTGCGACCACTAAAGCCCAGTTGCTTGCTAAGTAATTTTATGCTTATTTCTTGTTCCTTTACAAGTGAAACTGTGTGTAACTGCTGGTGATGGTTCTTTTGAAGCCACTTTCAAACCCGTAATGATGACACTTCTGCATTCCCTTTTTTTTTTTTTTTTGTATTTTGAGCTTTGTACTAACGTCTTGAATCAAAATGCTCCCGGTTGTAGCTTCCCAGCAGGAAGATGGTCTGTCCTTGCTTCTTCCGTTTTTACTCCTTATCTAAAAGTCTTATTCATATGCTGTGTGTTACTAATATAATATACGTAACAGTCAGTATTTTAACCTAAACCCACTCTTTTCCTGGTTTTCACTAAAAAGGCATCGATTAACTCTGCTGCAATAATTCTTTAGCATTTTTACTTGCACTCTCCATTTTCTTATTGCTTTATACTCAAGTCTTTTCTGAATTATGTATGTTTGGCTCATGGATCTGTTAGTGTACGTAAATGTTTTGATCTCATTAACCAGCGGAGATTCTGGTCAGAATATGAGGCTTCGACTGCAGCCTGTGATTTGCCATTCTCTATGTGTTTAGTTAAAATGAACTAGAAGGAATGAACTTGTTAAAAAGCCTCTTGGCGTGTGAGGACATAAGGCTCTGAGGAGTAGAATGTCTTTACTGTGTGACCTTTCTGTTGATGAACACTGCTTTAAGTGCACGCTCTGTTTCCACCTTTACTGACTGGTTTTATACTGATGAAACCTTGATTGGTAGCTCAGTAGTGATGGGTCTGTTCAATTGCTGTTGAAGATTGAATGATTTGGCTTAAAAAAAATTTTTGTTACAGACTGGAAATCCACTTTAAGTTTAATGTGATGCAAAATGGCTCCAAGTTGTGAATAATGAAAATCTTCAATTTGCTAATTGTGTGATGTTTGTTGTTCTCTCTCTCTCTCTCTCTCTCTCTCTGTTTTTCTCCCAAATCTGTTTTCCCTCTCTCCTGACATGGATCCAATCACTCCACTGGACTACAATCATTTTCTGCCTCGATGAACATCACCTGTGATCGGATCAAAATCTCTTCTTGTCACCTGAACCCTCTCCTGACCAATCACATGGCTCTGCCTGCCATTCAACGTTTTAATGGTTCTGCCGTGTGTGCGTGTGTCTGTGTGTGTGTGTTTTTTCCCCTCCCCTCCTTTCAAACTCCCCCTGTATCTCTTCTTCTTGGTCTGTGGAAAGCAAATGAAGAATCTTGGGCAGAAGGCAGTTTCTGCATGCTAGTTAAAAAGAACAATCTTTGTCAAAGGAAGGTGCTGCAGCAACTGTGCTGCAGAACTTGCTCGCAAAAGGGGTGACGGGACATATTCACTGCGCGTAAAGGGAGTATGGGGGGGAGGGATGTGGGGGCACAGGGGGCAGCCCTCGTTCTCAAACCCCCTTGCCCACTTATTCACAGTCACATAATTTATAAGAGAATCTGTGCCTCTTAAAGGGACTGCATCGGAGGTGCGATGACAGGACTACAACAAACCTACCTTTTTTTCTGTACTGGGACACACACGTGGTCAGGGCATACAATGACTGGGACTTATTTTAAGAACAAATGAAAAAAGTGAAAACAAACAAAAGAATAAAAGTGTCGGCATTTTGTGACCAAAGCATCGATGCCAAAATAATTGAACCTACTTTTTTTTTTTTTTGTTGCCAGTGGAGGAAGTACAGCTAAAAACAGGAGCCACCCAGCCTGTGAATCTAAATGAGTCTGTGTGCATTTGTATTTTAGCTGCTCTTCCTCTTCTTTTTCCAGTGTTAATGATAAACAGATGGAAAGTGAACAAACAGTAGGAAAGGCCCTGGTTTTCTGCCTGTAAATATATGTCAAAGTAAAAAAAATAAAAAAAGAGAGAGAGAAGAAGAAGCTCACTCAGTCATGTGAAAGTAATGTCTGTCTGGGCTGACTTTGGCTATTTAAGGGAGTGAAGACAAATTCACATACACAGTGCAAAGATGCTTTTGTACCACACAGACATGAACTCAGACTCATAAATCAGCCGCCACTTGAAGTTGTAGGCACTACAGTGTCACCGTATGCCAAGACTGATGCACATTACTGACCAAAATCACCTCATTTCTTTTATTTAAAAACATAAACTTGCCCTCTGAGTAGTGCGTGTTTGTCTTTATTGGTGTGTGTAGAAGAATGACATTAATTCTTGATGTAAGCCCAGACAGCATTGATTCATTCCAGAGGTACTACAAGACATGTCGATAGTCATTCTGCCGGGAAGGAAACGCTGCAATGTGGTATAATGAATTAGTGGTGTGAGGGATGCACCGATGCCCATTTTTCACTTACATTGCAGATTTTGGAAAATAAACCTATTGATTCCATCTATTACTGTGGCGGAACAATTTAAAGCTCTATGATTATTTTGTTGCCACTGGCTAAAATAACTGAAACGCAACTCAGATTTGTTACAGGAAGCTTCAAGGCTTCTATATATTGGCTAGAATTTTTTTTTATTTTTATTTTTTTACATGACATATACTGTACAACCCCCATAAAAGAAATTGGGTCTAATAGTGATATTTTCTGTATCGGTGCATCCGTTTGTAACACTATTCTCAAATAAAATTGGGTTTTAGAAGTTTCAACAATTGGACATTCCATGACAGTAGCATCTCAGCTGAACTACACTTTCAACACAAAGTCAGTGATTGGCACAGAAAATGTCATTGTCATGTTTCATCTGCAGGTGAAGGTCTGTGACAGGCAGGCAGACTCTGGACCATCTTCAAAATTTCAATGTAGAAACACATTTGGCAGTAGATAGGAAAAACTGGAAACCAGACACAATGAGGCAATGAATTTTTTAAAATGTGCATTATATTTCTGAAAGCGAGCAAACAACATCACTGAAATGTTAGAAGTGTTGACTCATATAGAGCCAAAACTGTGCTCGTGTTAAGGACAGCAGACTTCAGTTGCCTGCTTTCTTTTCTTTTTTCTCTCCTGCCTGTTTCTGAACTTTACCTGATGAAACTCAAAAGATTATTCTGGTCATGCTGATTTCTAATAAACAGTAGCAGCAACAACAATAATATTGTTTAAGAATCTTATTCTGTGTGGGTTTTCACACCTGCAGCTTGAGCATTTACAGTATTAGATGAATTGTTGTACTGTCACCTGGTTCTTGATGATTTGTAATAAAGATTGATGAATCCCCTATTTTGGTTAACAAAACTTATTCTTGGTCATTGTTTAAGATGACTTGACTTTAGATTATGTGGTAGTAGACACACACACACCTCATATAAAAGCTGTTTTTATTGTGTACCTGTGACATATCTGTGACAATGCCTTATTAATGTTACTCAGTGCTAGTTTTGAAAATCTTTTTTTTACTTAAGTGTTATTAAAATGTTTAATCTGTTCATGTTTTTCATTTTCTACTCTGTTCTTATGTTGATAGTGTATTTATCAGTGTTATTTCGACCATTAGAACTTTTAGTTTCTGACTTTCTTTCTAAAACGTTCAGTTCTTTGTGTTTTGTTTGTTTTTTACTAATTCATGAAAGAGAATAACATCAGGATTCAGATCACTGCTTTCAGAAACTTTGTTTTTCAGCACTTGATCGGATCAATTAAGTGAGAATTCCACGTGCTCCAGGCAGAGCACTTAAATGGAGACACATGCGCTCAATGGTAATTAGGTGAAAGTAAAAACCAGTTGGCAATGCAAAGATTTACTGATTCATTGCACATGCAAACACTTCTGTTTTTGCATTTACGTCAGGGATAACATGACCCTGAATGTAAAATTTTCTGCTTCACTTTTTCAGAGTTTTTATGCCTCTTCACCAGTGATGGCCGTGGCCAGAGGCATAATGTTTCAACACAAATGTCCACTCAGACACAAGGATTAACTGATTAGATTTTGGTGGTGAAATGTTGCCGTATCCTCCCTTCTGTCCCAGTGCTGTGAATTTGGCTGGTTGGCAGAGGCTAATTCTAGTTTTTCCTGATGTACATCAGCAAATAAAACGGCAGTAGATCAACATCTCCAAGGCTATAATTAAAATGTCAAAATATTCTACTCCAAATCCATCTGTACACACAAGTGCTAGTGCCAAGCTTGACCAGCAATACAGTTTGTTTATGCTGTAGTACAGTACAGTAGTAGTACAGTTCTGAACTACTTTAATAAATCCTGTTTTCAGCCTTTACCAACCTCCAGACAAACACTGTTTCTGTCATGGCCTGAGCTCTCTCCAGTGCTCATTCTGTGCCATGTTTAACCTCTTCCCTCCAGTCTTTACCATCTGGAAGAGAGACTTTGCTGTAGCTATGGACGGGCAGTGCTAAGGCTCAGTGTGGTTTTTGTCTTTAGGTACTTACCATCCCAAAATACATATTGGGTAATAATTCTGACACTGCTTTTGAACACAGTATTGGCTTACTAAATACTGTATTTAGGATGAGTGAAATACGGAGGACAAATCCCCCCCCCAAGGATTAATAATATACCACTTTACTTAGGTCAAAAACGAAAGGGCACCTGTGAGGTATAATGAATACATCTTTCTCTCTCTCTCTCTCTCTTGGGCCAAGTATGTGCAGGAGTTGGAAGGGCCAGAGAATTGAGATTCAGAACCAGGTGTAGTAGATGTCTGTGATACCTGCTAACAGGACTCTCTCTCTTGGCAGAGTAGGCTGCCAATGTCCTCACAAGGTCAGCTGAGTCCACAACAGAGGAAAGTTTTACTCCCCTGAGTGACAGGCTGCTCAATCCTTCTCCTTTTTGACAGTGGGAGTCCAAAGGGTCTGCTTGTGCTGAGTGAAGTTGCACGGCTTTCCGTCCCTTGAGAACTTGGCTCTCTGTTTATTTGTGTGTGTGAGTGAGGGGGAGACAAACTGAGATGTGTGTGTGTGTGTGTGTGTGTGTGTGTGTGTGTGTGTGTGTGTGTGTGTGGAGAGTGACAGCATTTATTCGGGGGCTGTTTGAATGGTTTCCGCAGAGCTCGACTGAATCAGAAGCCACCGCTTGTTGTGTTTGTACACAAAGAAGCTCTTTTTTTTTTGAAAGGAACAATTGAGCTTTTCAGAGAAAGCTCAGAGAGCACAGACACCCTCACTGATGCTTTGAAGGATGCACACATGCAAACACAGCTCCATCCTTATGCCTGCACTAGGGTCTGTCACCTTTGTCTAATACAAAGGTGGAATAGGCGACAATGTTTATGCCTCTTTTGGTGCATCTCTTTTCCGTCCTGCCAAGTCTGAAGTTGAGAGTTGATGGCTTTTTTGGAACAGTTTTCTCAATCCTCTTGTAACTTTGGACACAGCTGCTTACTGTACTGTATGTGTCCTGAGTGAATGTGAGCAAAATTAAGCTAACAACCAAAAAAAAAAAAGATAATTTGGTGAACAAATACAGTAACTAAGACTTTTACTGTTGCAAAGCAATACAATGACACTAATATATCTAGCTGAAGGCACTTGTGTTTTTCATCAGCGACAGTGACTAAGCAATTACTTTCCCAGGTGTGGAGATTTCTGGCACTCAAAACTCAATTTCCAGCCAGTACTTCCATTTTGCAACAAAAACTTTCCAACTTCACAAAACCTACGCACATTTTTAGCTGTAGAGGATGATGTGGCCAGGGGGCAGTAGGAAAGCGTTAAGTACACAAACAAGCAAAGATGAGTGGGTATTATTACAGAATATTTCTTTGATATGATAGGTGATCAATAAGCTCACCTCTCCTACAGTAGCTGAGCCTACTGATGACCACTACCTGGTCAATAATATAGGTCATTAGGAGTAATTGCTTTCTAAATGGCCCTGTTAAGTCTAATGCTCAAATCAAAAAATTTTTAAAGCACCAAGACGTGTTTTCCAGCCATCTTTTCTCAGCTTGTCCTGGTCAAGGTTGTTGAACCAGACAAATACACTTATTGACCACTTTAATAGTCACACCTGTACATTTGTACAGCTTAGCTTTGGAAATCTGTGTCTTCAAATTCACAAGGGGCCAAACAAAAATGCCAGATGCAACCTGTGAAACTGTTTTCATGAGAAAACATTCTGCAATTCCCAGTACCTGGGAGTGTATTTTCCAAAGGTGTGTTTAAATCTGTGAAATTTAATTGCGCGTGATATAATAACCTCAGACAGAGAAAAATGACCAACAGCATGAGAGATATTGTTGTTGAACAAGAGAAGTCAGAAACCAGAGGATAATGAGCTGGACCTGAAATGAAAACAGTAACAACTGACTGCCGGTTATAACTGCTGTGGCTACAGTACACCAGCAAACACATACTAATGCCGGTAAACAAATTAAAACACGGAGCAGCCAAAATATGTAAGTACGACATTAATCCAAAAACCGGTTGAAGATGTTTTTCTTGGAGAAGTGGGCCGGATTAGGTGTGAGGTCATGATGTTCACTGTCACTCCCTGTCTGCAGGAGAGTATTTGAGCAAAAATCGAAAGTGCCACCTGTGTGATGCTACCTGTCTGCAGTGCACAGGTCCAGAGAGAGAGGACTGCACCAAGTGCCCTGCAGCACGGTGAGAACCACTCACATACAAATATCTACTGCACATTCAAAAGATCCAAGTACAGTCAAAAGGTGAAGAACTAACATTGTGTTATTCACTGTCACACTTGAAGACAGTTCAAATGACCTTTAGAACAGAACTCCTGTTACTGCAGTCGAACAGCTTTTTCAAGTCTATTCTAGAATTTGTGACTCCTCTTTAACAAAAGGAGAAGTTAAGTGTCGTATCCAGCTTAGCGAGCTACTAAAACCTTTCACAGTTTCTTTAGTGTGTTGTTTGGTTTGAATGACTTCTTATAGCACAGTTTGTATTTTATACCTTCTACTGAGACTGAGTTTATATGTTCATTGTGAACCACACCCCACTGCAGGTACTTTGATGATGGACACTGTGACATTCGCTGCCAGTCAGGGCGTTATGCAGTGGGCAGGCAGTGCCATCTCTGTCACTACACCTGCCAGGAGTGCACCGATGAGGGTCCTGACAACTGCACCAGCTGTGACAGAGGTACACTCACTGGGGTTAAGACTGGAAAACCATTCAGATTTTTTTTTTGTGACTCCTGGAACCTTACCTTTTTGATAATGAAATGCACATCCACCCACAATAAATAAATAAATAGATCAAAGCTGCAGATAAAACATGAATACACTCTTATATATTTGATATTTCCTGCTTGCTCTTTCTCACCATGTTAAACCTGCATGCTGTGGGCCTTTCAACTGGCACAGGTAGCTCTTTGCAGAGGTGCACTGGTGTGTGCTTAAAAACCCATCTATCGAGGTGTGACCGGAATGTAAGTGAAATCGTGCTTTTTCGTGACATCACATGGATTAAGCCAAGGCTCATTTGTGCCAGGCTCCACCAATCAATCCTCCTCAAGTAAATGAATCTAATTAAAGTAGTAATTCAGCAAAGGCCTGCTGATTGATGTGTTAAAAGGGGGAATCAGTCATGTGTTCATTGTAACCTCATGCAGAGGTTTCTGTCTCAGATTGGAGCTCAGATAAAGGACATGCTGAGTCTGGTTTTGATAATTACTTTACTTCCTCTAAGGTAAGTTGTATGATGTTAGTGCCCTGTGCTGCCAATCCAGAGTACAGATTCATGAGTGTAAAAACAACTGTTATGATAAAGCTCATTAGAGGCCAACAGCCGAAGAAATCTAAAGCTGAGGTTGATTTAAACTGTGTGTTTATCACAGTGTCACAAATAGTATTATGGCTGTCAGAATGAATGTATTTACACTGGGGAGATTCTGTTACACACACACACACACACACACCTCCTCACACGCTTTAGGATACACCAGCCAAGAAGAAGATTTATACCAGATTTCCTCTACACACATGCATTCTGCACACACGCACATGTTCAATTAGCTGGAAAGTTTGTCAGACAGTGTTTGTATATGTGGTTCCACTTAATTGCAGGTGTGTCTGATGCTCAGTGAGACATAATATCATGGAAGAGTCCATCCATCTGTCTCTCCTTGTGTCATTTCTCTTTCAAAGTGACCTCTTTTATCATGGCCGGTCATGCACATATGCAGACTGGTCCATACTGAGCAGACTGTTCTTGGTATTGACCTTTGATAGTAATGTAGAGTTGTCACACCCCTGCTGTCTTTAGAGGGGGTGAAATGATAGCAGTATAGAAAGGAGCACAACAGGGAACAAGGGAAGAGATGAAGACCAAAAAAAAAAAGAGTCCAGACAAGACAAGTTTGATTTCTGAATATTCAGTTGTGAAACTGAACCACTACTGAACATTTGAATCTTGAAATTAAGATGCCATTAAATTTTTCATTGATTTATGTGGTTTGAATTCCTCTGTGAATTTCCACAGGCAATTTGAAGATGTGCACTAGAACTTCAGTCACTCATTCAGTTGGTTTTTTTTTGTCTTGTCTTGTCTTTGTCTTAAAATTTAAGTCAACAAATCAGGAAACTGAGGTTGGGCTGATGAAATTCAGACACCACCACTTAGTATTAACAGTCTGAATGGAATGCACCACCTCTAGCCCATTAGTTGTGCAAACAATGCGCAAATAAATACACATACAGCGTGGCATGGTGGTGCAGTGGTTAGTGCTGTTGCCTCACAGCAAGAAGGTTCCAGGTTTGAGCCCTGCTCGACCTGGTGGCTTTCTGTGCAGAGTTTGCATGTTCTCCCTGCATTCAGCTTAGATTGACTGGCAACTCTAAATTGCCCATATAGCAATGTGAGTTATCTCTAAGTGTCAGCTTAAGTGCACAGGTCCAGAGAGAGAGGACTGCACCAAGTGCCCTGCAGCACGGTGAGAACCACTCACATACAAATATCTACTGCACATTCAAAAGATCCAAGTACAGTCAAAAGGTGAAGAACTAACATTGTGTTATTCACTGTCACACTTGAAGACAGTTCAAATGACCTTTAGAACAGAACTCCTGTTACTGCAGTCGAACAGCTTTTTCAAGTCTATTCTAGAATTTGTGACTCCTCTTTAACAAAAGGAGAAGTTAAGTGTCGTATCCAGCTTAGCGAGCTACTAAAACCTTTCACAGTTTCTTTAGTGTGTTGTTTGGTTTGAATGACTTCTTATAGCACAGTTTGTATTTTATACCTTCTACTGAGACTGAGTTTATATGTTCATTGTGAACCACACCCCACTGCAGGTACTTTGATGATGGACACTGTGACATTCGCTGCCAGTCAGGGCGTTATGCAGTGGGCAGGCAGTGCCATCTCTGTCACTACACCTGCCAGGAGTGCACCGATGAGGGTCCTGACAACTGCACCAGCTGTGACAGAGGTACACTCACTGGGGTTAAGACTGGAAAACCATTCAGATTTTTTTTTTGTGACTCCTGGAACCTTACCTTTTTGATAATGAAATGCACATCCACCCACAATAAATAAATAAATAGATCAAAGCTGCAGATAAAACATGAATACACTCTTATATATTTGATATTTCCTGCTTGCTCTTTCTCACCATGTTAAACCTGCATGCTGTGGGCCTTTCAACTGGCACAGGTAGCTCTTTGCAGAGGTGCACTGGTGTGTGCTTAAAAACCCATCTATCGAGGTGTGACCGGAATGTAAGTGAAATCGTGCTTTTTCGTGACATCACATGGATTAAGCCAAGGCTCATTTGTGCCAGGCTCCACCAATCAATCCTCCTCAAGTAAATGAATCTAATTAAAGTAGTAATTCAGCAAAGGCCTGCTGATTGATGTGTTAAAAGGGGGAATCAGTCATGTGTTCATTGTAACCTCATGCAGAGGTTTCTGTCTCAGATTGGAGCTCAGATAAAGGACATGCTGAGTCTGGTTTTGATAATTACTTTACTTCCTCTAAGGTAAGTTGTATGATGTTAGTGCCCTGTGCTGCCAATCCAGAGTACAGATTCATGAGTGTAAAAACAACTGTTATGATAAAGCTCATTAGAGGCCAACAGCCGAAGAAATCTAAAGCTGAGGTTGATTTAAACTGTGTGTTTATCACAGTGTCACAAATAGTATTATGGCTGTCAGAATGAATGTATTTACACTGGGGAGATTCTGTTACACACACACACACACACACACCTCCTCACACGCTTTAGGATACACCAGCCAAGAAGAAGATTTATACCAGATTTCCTCTACACACATGCATTCTGCACACACGCACATGTTCAATTAGCTGGAAAGTTTGTCAGACAGTGTTTGTATATGTGGTTCCACTTAATTGCAGGTGTGTCTGATGCTCAGTGAGACATAATATCATGGAAGAGTCCATCCATCTGTCTCTCCTTGTGTCATTTCTCTTTCAAAGTGACCTCTTTTATCATGGCCGGTCATGCACATATGCAGACTGGTCCATACTGAGCAGACTGTTCTTGGTATTGACCTTTGATAGTAATGTAGAGTTGTCACACCCCTGCTGTCTTTAGAGGGGGTGAAATGATAGCAGTATAGAAAGGAGCACAACAGGGAACAAGGGAAGAGATGAAGACCAAAAAAAAAAAGAGTCCAGACAAGACAAGTTTGATTTCTGAATATTCAGTTGTGAAACTGAACCACTACTGAACATTTGAATCTTGAAATTAAGATGCCATTAAATTTTTCATTGATTTATGTGGTTTGAATTCCTCTGTGAATTTCCACAGGCAATTTGAAGATGTGCACTAGAACTTCAGTCACTCATTCAGTTGTTTTTTTTTTGTCTTGTCTTGTCTTTGTCTTAAAATTTAAGTCAACAAATCAGGAAACTGAGGTTGGGCTGATGAAATTCAGACACCACCACTTAGTATTAACAGTCTGAATGGAATGCACCACCTCTAGCCCATTAGTTGTGCAAACAATGCGCAAATAAATACACATACAGCGTGGCATGGTGGTGCAGTGGTTAGTGCTGTTGCCTCACAGCAAGAAGGTTCCAGGTTTGAGCCCTGCTCGACCTGGTGGCTTTCTGTGCAGAGTTTGCATGTTCTCCCTGCATTCAGCTTAGATTGACTGGCAACTCTAAATTGCCCATATAGCAATGTGAGTTATCTCTAAGTGTCAGCTTAGACCCTATTCAGGAATAAGCGGTTTAGATAATGGGTGGATGGATTTGATAAAACATAAACAAATGACTCCAGACACACACAAAAATTTGAAATGACCCTGAAAAGGGAATTTGGGCCACACAGATTGAGGTAAACAGCTTTCAAAGTAAAATATATCGATTTGATGAGTTTGGAGCTTGTTCACTTTCAACATTAGGTATTCAGTAGTGGTTACATTTCACAGCTCAGTAGGTGCCTACAGTATAAAATTGGAATTTTTATGGCCTTTATTTGCTTCCATACTTGTCTGCCCTTTCATAACTTTTGTGGTTTTTACATTTCCTCATCGTAAGTGCTTGTTCTGCATTTTACTTTGATGGAGAAAATTGTATTTGTAACTCTATGTATGAGTATAAGTTACCATTCAGTGTTCATATATGACTTATGACACACAATCCATGAGGCTATTTCTCTGTTTGTGTATGTGTGTGACTCCTTGCTGAGTATGTCTGCGGTTTTGTGTATCAGCACTGTTTATTCTACACTTTCCAGGGCTCTTGTCCCTCAGAACATTTCCTGCACAGATTTTCTTTTCTTGCTCCATCCAGACAGGTTTGGTGTGGCTAGGTACCTCTATCAGAGCCAGTGCCGGGCTGTCTGTCCTGAGGGGTTCTTCCATTCTGCAAGGAGACGGTGTGAGCCCTGTCCTGCAGAATGCATCATCTGCACAGCAGCACATCACTGCCTCCACTGCAGCCAAGAATACAAACTCAGAAATGGCCAGTGTGAGCGACTGAAGTGCAGTGAAGGTGAGACATGAGGACATAAGACTTGGTGACATGTTCATTTACAGATGCCACTATGAAACACATTCTTTATTAACTCTGCAGTACTGTACAAGTGATGAATGTCTTTTACGGAGTTTATCACTTTGAGTAATGCTGCATAGTGAAAACATGAGCATAAATCAGAAAATATGTTACCTAATTGAAAATGTAGGCAGTTGAATAAATGAAGAGTTTGGGAGAGGCTTTTATAAAAGCTACCGCTGTTGCTCAGCACCGCTGTCACAAAGCTGGCATGAATTTGGCAAACAACACCTTAGGGAACACATGTGGCACACTGACCTCATTTTAAAGCAATTCTTAAAATACAGTTCTTGGAAAATATTCCAACACACAGGGCTCAGAGCTACAATTTAATATGCACAGATTGAGCAAAGAACTGCAAGTTATTTTCTAGACGAGTTTCCCTGAACAAGTACTCTGTGGTACGAAAAGAATGTTGATTTCAGTGTCAGGTGTGAAAAATGTGCAGCTCAGTAGAGGAATTTTAAGCTTCTGAAGATGATAGTAATATTTCATAAATGAGTCAAGGTGCTTTTGAAAGTTCAGGTAGTTTCATTTATAATGCTATGTGTCCAAGAGGTGATTTGGGTGTTTTTTATGGTGCATACCATCAGAAGAAGAAACACATATGGCCATGACATTTTAATCAACAAAACACATACACCAAAGCAGAAATCCAAAAGCATGGTATTTGTTTACTGGTATTACTTCATGTCTATTGCTTCAGCTACAGTAAATTCTGTATGAAAGTAAGAAGCTATTTTTTTTAAAGAAACTAATGTCCTACCAGACAAATATAATCAATGACTTGTCTTAACTATCTAGGTCTGCCTGGTGCACATGTTCCTGCTTTGACTTTCTGTTTACAGTCTGTCCAACTAAAGAACCTTTGTGTATCTCGCCATATGAGATCAAGTGTGTATGTCAGCCAAAGGAGGATTGAGAATGAGCTGATGTGTTTTGAGTGAGATGTTGTTGTTTTTTTTGTTGAGATATTTGAGATAAAGAGAGGAGGTGGAGGTGGGAAGTTACAACTTCACTACACTTAATGTGAGCTCGAGGTTAAAACTAATGATGAGAGTATCAAATGTATGAGCGGGAGGATGAGGTGAATTTCTTATCCTGTATGGCAGACAGGTCTCAACAGGCCCCACAGACAACTTCAACTCTTCTCTACTCTTCAGGCAGAGCAGTAACATTGTACTGACTAATGTGACAAAAAAAAGTTCAACATATAAACAT